GGGGGAGGCAGAGAGGGAGAGAGAGAGAGAGAGAAATGTGAAGGAATCTGAGGCAGAGGGGATTACCGCTGTTGCTATTCGTGTATTGTGAGGTCGGGGAAGATGAACAATGTTTTTCTTCCAATTGTCCAAATAGTTATTATGGGGATTGAAATATATTGCAATGGCCTTTTTAGACGGAAGGGTAATGGAAGGAGATCTTTGTCTCACGGTCATAGTACAGGGGGGTCTTTGTGGCAAAACAAAGTATAGGGGGGTCGTTGTCATAGACCCCATAGTACAGGGGATCTTTGTAATTTACCCTATTTTTTAGGAAAAATTTCACTTTAGTATGCTGAACTTTGGGAGTAGTTTCAAGATAGTATCCAAACTTTCAAACGTGTCACTGCAATACCTAAACTTTCAAAAAGTGTCAATTTGGTCCCTACCGTTAATCGACCGTCAGTTATCTATTGAAAATGTCAAAACTACCCTTCAAAAGAAGACATTGTTCATTGTCTTCTACCTTGAGGGTGAATTGGTTATTTTCAAAGAAAAAGAGAGAAAAACATGAAATATGATAGAGGGAAACAATAACCAAAAGCAAAGAAATAATTGGACAAGAATGTGTTTCGGGTCTAAAGGTAGAAGCAATGACTTCATTAGTCTAGAATATCAAACACCTCAACCGGTTCAGTCTCACGGTAGAAGATAATGAACAATGTCTTCTTTTGAAGGGTATTTTTGACATTTTCAATAAATAACTGACGGTGTGAACACGGTCTTGTGAAGATCAAATCCAATTTCATTCTCTCTCTCTCCCCCTCCTTCTGATATGGTATGATGGGCCTGGGATCAAGTCGGTTTGGGTTAGGTCGGGTTTATGCCAACCCTAAGTTCTAAACCCCCAACCCAACCAACCCAACCCTAACCCAAACCCTAACTAAATTCCTTTAATGCTAACCCAACCCAACCCGAAGTCAATTTTGGGTTAAGTTGGGCTCGGGTTGGGCCCAACCCAACCTTCTTCCCATCCTTTAAAACCTCATAGAATTTCTCGATTTTAGATCTTAACTCAACTTTCACTATATATATTAATCCTATGTTTCATTAGTATTTGTTTGTTTTTTTTTGTTCTTTTGGTACAAAATTCAGAAAAACAAGTGTTAGAAATGACTGTAGTTTATTATGAGTTATGACTTATGATAGATCTTTTATGGGTGACAAACAACAGAGAGGAGATGAAGAATAAAATTAAAAAAAAAACATAAAATAATGTTATTAAGGTTTTAGTCTTTCTGATTAGGATTAAATGAAGTGATTATCTTAAAAGAAATACATTATACTATGTGGTGGGGGCTATACAAATATCATGCATCTCAACAAATCAATGTATGTTATATATTACATATAACATATATTTATATATGACATGTATTATAGAGTTGGGTTTGAGTTAAGTTGGGTTGCCTAAGGGATCAACCCTAACCCAACCCGAAATAAAGTCAGGTTCATGGATTTCAACCCTAAACCTAACCTGAGATCAACCTGGCTCAACCTAACCCAACTTTTTCGGGTTGGGTTCAGGCCAACCCGGCCCAAGTTGCAGCCTTAGCTTCCACCACTACCAGGGATGGGTGATGGGCCTACGTACAAACACTCCAACATACTGCGCATTGCCCACTATAATCCTGAGCTAGGCACTGATCTGCTGAAAGTTCACATTGACTCCCCCACAGGCGCCCCACAGCACATCCCAGTGTGCATTGGTACACAGTTGGAATGTGCTGTGGGGGTGGGACGCTCAGAATGCTCTATGGGGCTTACATGCGAATTCGACCACTGAAGGCTAAAAGTCCTGTCTCTGCACATTACAGCATCAACAGAACTCTGATTTCGCTACTCACAGTATACCACAGCTGCACAACTTACGAATATAAGATGGTGATTTGTGGATGCAATTCAAGGGGCTGGAAAGTGCTCTGATGATATTAAATATTTTAATAATGGAGTTTTCATTATTCAGTCCACCCCTGATAGGTGTCAGCTCAGAATTGATGTTAATACACGGGTATTGGTATTATAGGTGGGGTGCAATTTTGAATTGTTGTAAGTCTACAGTGAAATTTAGAATTATGAGGTGGAGTGCAATATACTTTTTACTTTAATAATTCATTATTAATCGGGAGCATTTTTATATATTTCTGAATGGGTTTAAAATCGGAATAACCGGTCTCAATTCAATTATTAATTGGGACAAAACCACAGAACCAGAACCGACGTAATTGGTCTATTGGTTCAGTTCCGTGGGATAGACCGGGCCAATTGACAGCCTTAGATAAATAGCAGGGACACCCTTGTATAATGACCTTTTTATTTCAGTGCCCATAAAACGGAAGAATACCTACCAAAGAAACAGACAAAATCTTTGCGTCTGTGGGTCACAGTATCTTAACAAGCCATCAGTGCTCAGTAAAAGCACTGAGACCCAGTTTCGGATGGTCCTACCTTGTACATGCTCGGTGAAAATTCAGCATTATAGGAAATCATAACCATGCAATATTACTGCATTTATTAAGATAATTGAGAAAAGTCTGTCTTCAATTAAAACTATACAAAAAGATAGAAAAAAAAAAGCTCCAATTAGACGGCTAAAAATAAGAATTTTTTTACATGCATAGTAGCTAGGCTCCAATTCTTGAAACATGTAACAGGCAGCTAGTTATTGGGGCCCCAGATCCACTGTCATCTGTGTCCCCAGACCTAGTATGCTTCCTAAAGATGATAATCACCTAGGATATATAGTTGATGATTTGAGTAAGTCTTGAAATTCTTACAAAATACAGTCTGAGTCTTTCTTCTGTGTAAAAAAAAAAAAAAAGGTAGTCAATATGCTTTCTAATAAGCAAAAGAAATGCAAATACACGCCACACCTCCCGCCAATTAAAAAATAAAACTAAGGAAATTAAGTTTCTTCATCAGAACTGGAATTATCCTTCCGTCTTGATGTTAGGTGGTGGTTCTGGTGGAGCAGGCGGTTGACCGGAATCAGAAGAAGATTGCGCATTTGCAGCCTCCTTATTTGATGGTGTCTTTGTTGGCACTTGTGGTGATTCTTTCACCTCTTTACACACCTTCTCCAATATAATCAGGAAATCCCGGACAATCACAAACAAGCGTAAGCCTTCATCCTTGCCCGCACGCCCATGAAAGTAATCAGCAGTGCTTTTCACCAATGTCATAATCCTTTTTTCTTCCTCCAGCAAGTGCGTGATGTCCTTCTCTGCGTGCTCTACAAAACTCTTGAGTGTGCGGTGAAATCCACTGTCCTCTTCTGAACTCTTCATTTCTGTGTCCAGGAACTCCTTGGTCTTGATCAGCATATGTCCGAGTTTGGCCACTGTTCCTGTTATATTATCTGCATCCAATGCTGCTGCCTTCTTGACATTCTCGAGCTCATTACCCACACCCGAAACAACCTGAAGACCAAGGCTACGATAATGGTCTTCTGTTTCTTGGGGAGTATTCTCCTCCAATAGATCTTCTGTTTTCACGCTAGAGATGCTTGGGTTCTCTCTGGCCATACGGACAGCCCGTATGCCTTCAGAGCGGATTATCTCCTGAACAACAAAGTGCAGGAGAGTTGTCTTCCCATCAGCTCCTTTGACATCTACCAGTTTCAAAAGCGTGTCAAGTTTGAACGCCTGTGCACCACCACGAAATGTACCATCATTCATGCGATTCCCTGTTTTGAGTACAGCTTCTAAGAGTTTCAGGAACAGTCTACTGTTTCTTACTTCATTGCAGGCTACCTGCCAAATAAGATGAGACGATGATAACATAGAAGCAAATGTTAGTCAGCAACTAAATTTTAATTGATGAACCTCTCTAACAATAGCTTAATCATGTAAAATGCATCATATCTCCCCAAAACAGAACAAATCCCATATACAAATGGGTTGAATCTACCAATATGTGGAAACAATTAACCTCCATATCGCCTTTTTTATTTTTTGGTTTAATGAATATCAGGTGTCCCAAGTGATGTATGAAAATTGAAATAGAGGCTCAGTTTGGAAAGAGTACAAATACAAATATGTAGAGTGCAAAATCTAGTATTTTGTATTATTTTGTATGTATTTGCACTGTACATATTCATGTTTGTACTCCTTCCAGACTGAGCTAGAATACCAAAATCCTATCAACATAACTAATGATGGCAACTAGACTAGTTAAATGGGAAGCCACTCAGCAAAATGAGTTTAGTATTTGTCACGCCTCTTATCAAAGTTAGGGAGGATCTGGTTCACAGTGATTTCAAGCTCTGTTGGTCTTCCTATCCACTGAATGGGAGGAAATCTAGGTTGGGATCACAATTTAAATGAATAAGGGTTGAAACTTGAAACTTGAAAGATTTATCTCTTGCTATGAAATTGTTGTGTGCTTGACCAATACGTCAAAAGCCTTAAGACTGATGGAACCCAATAAGCCAAGCATTTTAACATTTAGGACCATAACAGAAACAGGTTCTACTCTTAATCTTATTGCCCTGGCTCTCAATCCGCATCACTCAACCATGTATCTTGCCTCTCCCTACCCCCTTTTCACAGGACTTGGTTAGGGCTGCCTAATAGTGTCAGGATTGGAGTGATCAAACCCTAATTGAACCTGATACATTTCAATCCTGAAACCATCAGAAGATGTAAATATAAGTTGCTAATCATATATGACGAAACAATAAACCACATGTTATTTATTGTGTTTTCATACTTCCATTCTGCCTAATAGTGTCAGAATGGAAGTCTACTAGGGATATTCTGTCTTCTGAGCCTCTCAGTTCCTCCATCTTGATCTTTCCTTTTCACACTTGGAAAGGGGAAGATCAAATTACTGCCTTCTTCGGTGGACAATTAAAATAACCTACAATTTACCAAGAGCAAATCCTTCATGTAAGGGTGGACCCACCAGTTGACAGTCTTATTATCTATGAGGTCATAACCATCTGAGTGAATGCTTGTTTGAGAGGAGAAAGTGATATGTATTCCATAAATAAAGTGCCACTTATTGGATGAATCACAAGAGCTTTCCTGGATTGGAACCACTATATAGAGGTCCCTTCCAACTGCTTGCTCAAAATTTGTGCAGCCGCTGCATTAACCAGGCCTCATAGTCAACTGACATGGAACTAACACTTACGAACTTTTATTTTTTGCCAAAGCCACTATTAAGGCAATCCATATAATCAACTTCTTTCTACTTTTACTTCAGGATGGTCAATTTGGCACTTATCAATAGAGTAGTCATTCTTTGCTATCAAAGATATAAAAAAGAAAAACCACAGTAGTCATTGTTCTGAAAGCAGAATGCCAGATATTGCACTGAAAATCAAAACTTTACTTGCAGTTTATCCCACCAAATGCAAACTCTGCAGCATGCAAAGCATTGGCTGAGTCATGTGCATATTACAATTTATTCAATTGCATTGCAATAATCCAAGGCCAACAAATTGCACACTTTCCATAAATTCTGCTAGGGAAAGCTCTCAGCAGCAAGAGTGCCTTTTTTTTTTCATATTCCTCTTCAAAATTAAATCTATTTATTCATAAATTACCAATTTTACCAAGCATGTGATATTTGCTACTTGAAATTTTTAATTAGCGAAAAAGAAATGCAAGAAGATTTTTAGTTTATACCTCGAAGGTCTTACCTCTAAAATTGCAAGAGACTCATTAATGCCTGAGGATTCTTCTTGAAGTGAATTCATGAAAAGCAAAGATTCCATTCGCTTAAAAGCAAAAGGGATATCAACCAAGACTTTTAAAAACCGCTCTGCATGCCCGAGTTGGGAAAGTGGACCAGTATATAGTCTAAGCCTTAGTTCTTCTTCTGTTGTTGGTGCCATCTTCAACAGAGTTTGGAGGAGCTCTGAGGGAAGCTCATTTCCTGTTTACATTAAATGGTGGATGTTATTCATGCATTAAACATCAATCCTCAATGGAAACCAGTTTCACAATTTTGGTTAAAATCAAATGAAACTTGGATCCTGTTTCAATAATGAGGAATACTGAAACAGCAGTCTGATGTATTAACTATATCTATTTGTTATCGTTCCATACCTATTCATATGAACTCTTATTTTCTCATGTTTTATAACTTTTTTAGTAATTATAAGAAATGGTCATTCAATGTGTAAATTTGTACCAATCGCATTCATTTAGACTCATTAAATATTTTGTTAGCTTTGATGCCGTACAACTCAATATGCTTGTGTTCAGCCTGTAGCTATTCAATCAGAACTGCATCTTTATCATAAAAGGTATCTTCTGTAAATATTGTGACAAATGATGACCATTTGAAGACAATAAAGTCTTAAATTCAGAAAACTGCCAGATGAGTCCAATTCAATTTGCAAAAAATACATACATTTGTAAGTCTAAAGAGTTGTTGCAATGGTTTCCAAGCACTGCACCTAATGGAAGGTAAGATCCTTTTATGTTTCCATTTCTCAGCCAAATAAAAAAAAAAAAAAGAGAAAATAATAGAATTGACCTTTTCAATTCATAAATTTACCCTTCTAGGTAAAACAAAACCCCTTTTTCTTTCAATTTTATTTGTTTATTTAGTTTGAACTTCGAAATAAAGGTGGAGATCTCTCTCTCCAACGCCCCTAGATCCTCCCTTGATAACCAGCAATGTACCTTCAATGCTAATTGCTATCAGAGTAGGCATTTTTTATCCACAAAAAGAGAAAGAAGGGGAAGAAAATTCATTATTGCATGTCATTTTCATTACTGGTTTATGCATCTTTCCTTGCTTTATGAGAGAACACAGTTACGTTCTAGCTAGGGTGTCCCCTTTTTTTTTTCTCTCTTATCTTACTTTCATGTTTTTGTAAATTATTTTAGAGGATTAAAATCAGATTCCAGAAGACATTGTTCATATCAAATGACCGAATTTGGGATTTTGATTTCTTCTTGACCCATTCTCCTATGAGGAATAAAACTCAAATGGATCACATTGTGCTGGAATAAGGACTTAGTTGAGTTGCATGTAGAAAAAGTGATAAATATTTTATTTTATTAATAACAGAATCCAAATACAGGAAACGAATAAGAGATGGAATAAAGGAAACTACAACAAATTCCACTATACATCTCCAGATACTCATAGATTAGAAACGTCTCCCATGGGAGATTGCAAACATTGGAGTCCGGGAATAAAAATGTTCAGACTGGCCACTACAAATCGAACCTCCTTGGTGAAATGTGGAAAATATCCAACAAGGACCACAGCTAACTCGTTATCCAGTCAATTAACAACAGCCAAACGCTATTAGTGCACCTTATTATTATTTTTTCTAAGATTGTCATTCATAGGTTTCACTAATCTAGATTTTAGCATCCTCTGTTGTTAAGGCCAACCTGAAGTTCTGAACCATTCATTAATTTGTCAGTTACCAATTGAAGTTTGGTCATATTTTAATTCGATATTTGTGAAAACCTAATTCAATTGTTTCACTAGGTTCCAAATTTTCACTGAAAACAGCAAATCTTCTTAGATATTTATGAGAAGGATAGCTGGACATATCGAGTCATTGGAACTTGATCCCAAGAAGATCATGCTCTCTGGAAATCTTAGATATTTTAGTCACGAACCCCAAGGGTTTTAATTTGAATCTTATGTCTAAAACCTTTGTGCAAAAGCCTTACAATTTTTGTTTAAATCCTACATTTTCATTTGTAAATCTTATGATTGGTACAGATAATGCAATTCGAATCAAATAAATCAATATTAGTTCTCTACTTTGTCATTTCTTTGTTTCTATTTAGTTTTGTCAAGTGAGACTTGTTATAAAGCCCTTAGCAGAAAATGATTTATTAGATTATTTAAGACCTTTTAGAAATGATATTTGGTTTATTTTCTATCATATGTAAGTTAATGAGCCATTATATGTGGACTATTTCACTTCCAAGTCAAGCTTTATTTAATCATCTTAGACTCTTAGTGTATAAGTGGTAAATTCTATTATTTTGGGTACATATATGGTAGATACAGATTAAAATAGGGTAACATGAATTATATAGTATATCCATTTTTAATTGTAAAAAACAGAAATAACCTTACTATTTATGTTACGATTACAATTTTTAGAACATTGCTCTAGATGTTAATAGAATTGCACTGCAGGCTACTCATTTTAATGTAAAAAAGAGCAGAAAGTACCTTCCTGTAATGCATCACAGACTTCTTCTGTTGTCACATTCAGTGCCCGCAGAAGAATTGCTAAATTTTGTGACTTCTTAGGATCAATGAGTTGAATGTACTGGGTAGAAGGATCTTGAGATGATGGCTTTTTTTTTTGCTCAGTTTTAGTTTTATCAGCAACAGCATACCCAAATAGAGACTCTATCATCTCTTCATTGAACCTATTACATAGAGAATAACACATTTAGCCACTGTTGTTTAGTACTTTATAATCAGAAAACTAGAGCTAGACTTGGAGCCTTACTGGAATGATCCTGAACTAATCTGATGCCAAACCATTGATTGATCAGGGCTTGCAAGAACCTTATCCCAGAAGAATGGCTTTAGCTTGGTTTTGGGAGGTCCATTTGAACCCTTTAAACCAAATCCATCAGGAGCACCGTGTGGACCATTTGGTCTAAGTGGTGGTTGACCTTTACCAGGGGGTGTTAGTGGTGGACGGACTGGAGGGGGAGGATTATTTGGTGGGTTAGGACCACGCTTTCCAGGTGGTGGAGGTGGTGGTCTAGGTCCAGATGGTGGTGATGGCGCACCAGGTACAGTTGTAGTTGGGGGTGGTGGTGGTGTTGTCGCAGCAGATACAGGTGGTGGTGGTGGTTGTATCTGTATGTCAGACTTTCCAGACAAACTGCCCTTCAAAGATGATCTTCTTCCAGAAGGTGGCTTCTGTGAGAGTGATGAAATTGCTGCATTAGTACTTTTGAATGAAGCAGATGATTCTGATAATGGAACTTCAACTAGGGAGGAATCATGTATGTTGGACTTTCCAGACAAAATGCCCTTCAAAGATGCTCTTCTTCCAGAAGGTGGCTTCCGTGAGAATGATGAAATTGCTGCATTAATACTTTTGAATGAAGCAGATGATTCTGATAATGGAACTCCGGAGTCAGACTTTACAGACAAATTGCTTTTCAAAGATGATACTCTTCTTCCAGGAGGTGGCTTCAGTGGGAGGGATGGAATTGGTGTAAGAATGCTGGATGAAGCAGATAATTCTCCCGAGAATTTAGTAGAACCAGCAATTGTTCCTGACAGTGGAGCTTCACAAAGGGAGGAACTGTGTATAGAATTTGCAGACAAATTGCTGGGCAAAGGTGATAGTCTTCCATCTTGCAGTATATTAGTATTAAATGATTGACTTCCTTGCTCGTCAGTTTGAACTGTATTTCCACAAGAATTCTTTGAAGAACCTGAAAGTTCAAAGTTTCCCATAAGAAATTAGCATTATACTCAATTTAAATTCATTACAATTAAGGAAGACCAATAGGACATGCATATTACATACCAACAGAGCCCAGGTTGAGAAGTGGCCTATCATCCTTTCCTCCAGAGTCAATGCTGTTTCTGCTCCACTTATTGTAGCATAAAAAGAGCATTGCAGCAAAAGCAAATGTCCCTGCTGCAGTTGCGACAACAGGAACAGCAACTGGGTTCTGGTCACTATTGTCACTCGATGGTGTACCTGGTGTAGAAAGTCGAAGTACAGAAGAAAGTGGATGAGATGAAGGTTTCTCATCAGATTCATCATCAGACTCGTAATCGGATTCCACATTTGCCTTAACAAATCGATGGATCTGAGAGCTGGAAGTAGGTGATTCAACTACAGGAGATGGTGCAGGAGTTGCAGCACTTTGATGCATCACACCACCTAGAAGCCGTCTAGAGGGTTCAGTCCAACCAGAAAGGGACTCAAGATACTTGGTGTACCAATTCCTAGAGTCATCCTCTTCCTCAGAAATGTGAAAAGGAAGATTCTTCTTTCTTAAACAATTCAAGAGTGTCTCTTTTGTTTGGGGAGGCAGGGCACTAATAGCTTTCTGTACGTTTCTTTTTTCCAGCAACTGTGCTTTTGAATTGATACCATTAGAGGCAATGGCTATTTTCTCTGGAAAATGTAAGTCAAGATTCTCATTGGATTTGCTCATATGCACCGAATCTAGCCTGCACTTTATCAACAACTCCTCTGCCTGTGGTCAATTTTTTTTTTTTTTGTGAAACTATTACTTTCCAATGATATAAATAATAATACAAGTTAAAAGAATAAAGTTTGACAAGAAAGGATATTTCTTGTCATATTCTGCAGGCAACCTCAGAAAACTAAGGCACACGATCAATATCAACAGAGACAAATATGAGCAACTGTCATGGCCAATCCCATTTAGGGAATATGGATGAAGATCAACAATTTTAAAGTAAGGGTTCCTTGATTTCAGAGATAACTTTTACATGGATGTCGCATTATCATTTGGATGATGAAAGAAGAAATTGAGTTGACAAAATAGGCGGAAAATTGTTAATTGAAACTGCATAGTTTATAATTGTTCTTTCTTTCTTTGTTTATTTTGTGTGTTGGGGGGGATAGGAAACTATTTTATTGGTAAGCAAAAACATAGACCAACAATGACTGGTTTACAATTTTAGCCATGAAGTTTGCCTAGTTTACAACAATAGTTCTAATCATTCCTTCAATTCTTAGTTTTTCTGTTTGTTTTCCCTTTTCATCCTATTAACTTGTTTAGTAGAAGTTCCATTAGTAGCTAGTTTGTAGGATGGATGCCAGATGTGAAATTCAAATATGCCCATTTTCTCATCCACACAATACATGCCATTGCTCCTCCATACCTGGCAAGTTTCATATGGTTATTTAATAATGGTTCTGTAGTTAGTTGTTATGAGTTGGGGGTAGAAGCATGGTGCAGACACCATCATACATGAAGAAACATACATGCACATGATCAAAAGGCTAGCCAGTTACTTAATTCCATCTTTTTCAGAAAATGAACCAGAAAGTCAGGCACCAACTTCCCTACAAAGCCAAGGCTTGGAGGCTTGGAAATTGGCTGATAGAAGCAATGTTCATGGTAATGTTATTAATCCCTAATGAGTAATGCGGGCATTGAAATTCCCTCGGGATTAATTTGGTCGCCAAAGAGGAGGATGATGCATAAGCATAGCTTGTGCAATGACAAGGAAATCGTGACAGAGACAGACCTTCTCTCTGAGTTAATGCACACAGAACAAAAATAACTTGAACATAAATGACATCAAAAGTTCAAAACCACTAGTGGAAATGTTACTGTATCCAACACTTGGATTCCAGCCTAAATCCAATGTTGCATCAATACAACATATGGGTACCCTTTGTATGAGCAAAATCAATGAGAATGCAACCATAAATTCCAGCCTAAATCCATGATAACATTCCAAGTTTGAAATGAAAGGAACAAGTTGGCAGATTTAAATGACATTATTCACCAACAAACAACGCCGCTTAAAGTTAAAATTCATTCAAATGGAGATGGCAACAGATGAAAGCAGATACCATTTTTGTTAAAAAAAAAAAAGAAAAAGAAAAAAAAAATGAAAAGAATGCATCGAGTAACACCGACAGAAATATAGATGGCAAAAGAGTCGTACCATGTCTTCGTCCACCTCTATCTCTGGAGAAGCCGAAACAATTCCATTGCTCCAGAAGACTTTCCCTGCCCTCTTGATTCCCTTCGAACTTCCCGTCGCCAACGCAAAAAGCAGAATGACAAAAGCGATAACAGAACCCACTCTTCTGACATCCATCCGTTCTCAAATCAGCGTTGCAAACGCATATTACCTTTTTCATTTGATCTGCAATATCAACATTTACATAACCCAAAAACAATAATACCGTCTTTTCCTCAATTAACGAGAAGGAGAATTTCTCAAAATGTCGAAGCGAATGACCTGTTATTCATTTACTACCGATTCCATGAAGTTTCTCTTTGTCCTCAAAACCAACTCTTATAATCTCTCAAGCGTCATTGGTTTTCCAATTCCTCCGTCGTCCTATCAATGTTTCACGTAAAAATTGAAACATGGAATCAATGAGGCTAATCCAGATGAAAGATTGCAGCTTTCCCTGGGGAAAAACATCTAATAGAACAGATTCAATCCAAATCTCCACGAAAAATCACAAATTTGATCCCCCCCCTCCTTCAAAATGACATCGGAATGTCAAAAATATGATGCAAGGAATCTGCCGTCAATGCGAGGCATCAGCCAGGCACTTCTGAGCAGATCCACCCGGAGAAGTTCTGAAGCAAAGCTGGAAATATAATCTGTGAAAGGCCAGGTTGACCAGAACGTTGAAGGGTGAGAAATTCCGTTGAAAGGTGAGAACTTCCGTTTGATGAACGTCGTCCAGAGGAGAGAGAGAAAGACAGAATTTGCAGGCCAAAATTTTTTTTCCAATTTATTATTAATTATTTATTTTTTTGAAAAAAATAAGGGTCTAGCAAATTTTGGAGGGTTCTTTTGTTGGTTTGTTGCCGATGCGAAAAGCCGAACTCCTTCTCTCCGAAGGAGATCGACGTTGAAAGAAGAGAAAGACGTGTGTATTGAAGAGTAATTTGGACACACCCCAGAAATATATAAATGATTCGTAGTTCACGTAACGTAAGATATAGATAGATAATATATACTAACAAATTATAATTATTTCTCCATTAATTAATTTTTAGTGTACTTGGGTGGACTCACGAAGATGCAGATGCTCCCTTTTGTTCTAAAGATTTGGGAAAATTCCCAATTATTACCTGTCCTTTGTATTTAGTGCCATTTTTCGTCTTCTAACTTTAAAATGCGAAAATTTAGTATTTGAATTTTTAAAATGTGATAATTAAATACTTGTTATTAATCAATTATAACTTTATAAGCAGTTAATTTAACATTATGTGATATTTGAAAATAACAAAAATGTCCTTCCAGTGATTTAATTTTTTTTATCAATCTTTTAAACGTTGACAAAAAAAATAACAGTTCAAAATCCTTACTTCTTCCATTTAAAAAAGTTGGGTTATGTTTGAGTGGATATTCCGGTGACCCCAACTTTCTTGAATAGAAGAGGTAAGGATTTGGTACTATTAATTTTTTTGTCAATGTTTGAACAGTTGATAAAGAAAATTAGATGACACTCTAAGGGCATTTATGTCTTTTTAAAATGACACTTAATGACTAATTAACAACTATTTAACGACAAATATTGGATTGTCACATTTTGAAAGTTTGGGTACTGAATTATTGCATTTTAAAGTTCGGGGACCAAAGTGACACTAGACCCAAAATATAGGGTACTAATCGAGAATTTTCCCAAAGTCTTACCCATATCTAAAAATTTTAAATAGAAAAAAAAAAGCTTTGTATTGTATCTTGCAATGTTATCGAGTCATCGTTTACCTAGAAGATTGGAAAATTTGGCTCGATAACCATCTAGTCAATTGGTTTTGTTTCACTCTTAACCCATTTTTTGCCAAAAATTATTAGCTTGATCAACGATTTGTTGATCTGGGTGAACCATTGACCCATTTGACCCAGACAATGGTTTGGTTGCTTTTATTTTAATTATTCTTTTAATTTGAAACGGGCCATTTGTTCGAACCAAATGGTCGAACCGCTGATCTAGAAACTAGTGGCCAAAGTAGTTCCAATCCCGGGTTGATTTTTAAAACATTGGCCTCTCCTACTCTCCAAGATTCTCTTGTATTGGCTTGTAAATGAAACTCACATCGATGCCCCACAACACATCCTAACTAGAGGTGTCAACTGGACTGGATTTAGTCCAACTTGATCCAATCCAATGTGAGTCCACTTACAAATGGAATGGATCCAGTCCAAATCCAATCCAATCCATTAAAATGTAAATGGACTAGATTGGATCCAATCCAAATCGGATGAAATATAAAAAATTATATAAAAAAAACAAATCATATAAAAATTCCATAAAAGTGATTTTATAAAAATACTTTTGTATATGTGCTTCTATAAAAGTACTTTTACAAAAGTACTTTCGTAGAAGTGCTTTTATAAAGTACTTTTGTAAAAGTACTTTCATAGAAGTGCTTTTATAAAGTACTTTTGTAAAAGTGCTTTCATAGAAGTGCTTTTATAAAGTACTTTTGTAAAAGTATTTTTATAAAAACATTTTCATAGTACTTTTGTAAAAATGCTTTCGTAAAAGTGCTTTCGTACAAGTACTTGTATAAAAGTACTTTTGTAGAAGTGCTTTTGTAAAAGTGCTTTCGTAAAAGTTCTTTCTTCCATGAAAGTTCTTTCATAAAAGTGCATTTATAAAAGCACTTCCATAAAAGTTCTTTTGTAAAAGTGATTTCATAAAAGTGCTTTTGTGAAAGTTCTTTTGTAAAAGTACTTTCGTAAAAATACTTATGTAAAAGTGCTTTTATTAAAGTTCTTTCGTAAAAGTGCTTTTATAAAACAGGTTATGTAATAGTGCTTTTATAAAAGCACTTCCATAAAAGTTCTTTTGTAAAAGTGATTTTAGAAAAGTGCTTTTGTAAAAGTACTTTCGTAAAAATGATTTTGTAAAAGTTCTTTCTGTAAGTGTTTTCGTAAAAGTTCTTTCATAAAAGTGCTTTTAAAAGTACTTCCATGAAAGTTCTTTCATAAAAGTGATTTTATAAAAGCACTTCCGTAAAAGTTCTTTTGTAAAAGTGATTTCATAAAAGTGCTTTTGTGTAAAAGTGCTTTTGTAAAAGTACTTTTATTAAAGTACTTTTGTAAAAGTGCTTTTATAAAAGCACTTCTGTAAAAGTTCTTTTGTAAAAGTACTTTTCATAAAATTACTTTTATAAAAGTGCTTTTAAAAAAGTACTTTCATAAAAGTAATTTTATTCCAACTTCAATTTTGAATGATTTCAAATTGGATAAGGATTTGGCCTCATGATCGGATTATTGGAAATTTGGTTTAGGTCCAAGAATATGGACTTTATTTTGGATTAGCCCAATCCAATTCTGATCTGATAAGGTTTGGGTTGGGTTGGATCCAATCCAAAACTGGTCGATTGGCACCCCTAATCCTAACTGCGTATTGAAAACATCTCCCAGTGAAAGTTCTCCCAAAGTATGCTGAAATGTGCTTGTGGGGTGCCTGGGGGCACTGATGTTATATCCTATAAATGCTTTATCTAAATATGCAGGTTCGTATGGTCTCCCCACAGAGCTTACCCCTCTTTGCTTTATCTTTCCTTGTTCTCTCAAGAAAATACCTCATCAGTCTTTTCTCTTATATGGACACCTCATCATGCCCGGCCTACTTTACAATATGTAAGCAATGTGACAGATTAGGAACCCACTTCACAATTCGTAAGCAATGCGACAAATTAAGAAAAAAGCAAGGCAGGGGAACATCCGAACATGGGCGTTTAAAGAAAATAGCAAGGCAGAAGTTCGGGTCCTCCTCCTCAAACCCAACAGATCTAACAATCAACTCAGGGGATAAGGTGGCGAGCCCAAATGTGCCACCACAAGAGCCATGGTTGCTATAGCTTGGAATTGTCGGGGAGTGGGGAGCAGACCGACAATTCTGACATTTACACAACGTCCTCAGAACGATAGAACCAGACTTTCTTTTCATCTCTGAAACTAGATGCGAAGAGGCTATATCATTTAAAATTTTGCACCGCTTTCAGCTTTATCAGTTTTTTTGTCGTAAGCTCTACAGGTCAGTTTGGCGATCTATGGGTGGGCTAGCCAAAAAAATGTTAAGGCCGAAGTTGTGTCTGTCAATTCCAATATCATCCATGTTTGCATCAAAGAAATTAAACTGGCATTTCATCTGTGTTTAAAGAGCATGGACCAATGGTCGGGATCTTGTTATGGAGAGGATAGACAGGGCTTTATGTTCTTCTCAATGGATTCGCAATTTTCCAAATGCTGTTGTGAAGCACTGCATTGAAGCTAGGAGTGATCATCTACCAGTTATACTTTATACTAACCCCACTCAAAATAAAAGAAGAAAGCAGTTTCATATATGGAGGCCATCTGGCTGAAAGAAGCAGGATTCAATCAAGAGCTGGGCAGAATTTGGAAAGAGTAACGGTAATTTCCTCCAAAAATGCTATTCTTGTAAATTCAATATGGCTAGATGGGGCAGGAGCAGGAGCAGACTGGGTAATTTCAGGCATCGAATCAACCAAATTGAACAAAAATTACTTCACCTTCGTTTGAAACTACCCACTAATTGCAATCAGATGGAAGAAATAAACTTAAGAATGGAGCTCAATTATCTTCTAGAGACAGAGGAGCTGTTCTGGAATCAGCGCTCTAGGTCTGATTGGCTGAGGGATGCGGACCGCAACACAGCTTATTTCCACATCCAGGCTACCAATCGGAGGTGGAAGAACACCATATATGGTCTCTATAATGATCATGGTTGTTGGGTTTCAGATCCTGCTACAATGACAGTCTATAAGTGAATTATTTTCTAACCTCTAATCCCAACATAGTGTCTTTGCCTTCCGATCTTTTGCCTCCACAGATTACTGCGAAACAAAATGAGTTCCTCTGTCGTTCTCCTAGTGAAGAAGAAATCAAATCTGCGCTCTTCAGTATTGGCTCTCTAAAAGCGCCAGGTCCGGATGGCATTGTTGCCATTTCCTACCAAAAATGTTGGGCTGAAATTGGTAGCGAGTTCCCTATATTTATTAAAGAAATCTTCCAGAACCCCGAAATGATTAGAGAAGTGAATGACACCATCCTTACCCTCATTCCGAAGGGGGAGAAAGTCAAATTAGTGAGGGATTTATGGTCGATTGGCCTGATGAATGTTCCATACAAAGCTATGGTTAAAGTCATTGTGAACAGATTAAAATCTTTGATGGACCAATTACTCACTCCTCTCCAAAATGCTTTTACTCCTGGCAGACACATTCATGATAATCATACCATTGTGGTAGAGGTTGTTCATAGTTTAAATCACTTGAAAGGGAGACCTGGTTGCTTTGCTTTGAAATTGGACCTTTCCAAAGCCTACGATAGGATGGAATGGAAATTTCTTGAGTGGGTTCACAGACAAAAGGGGTTTCTCTCCCTCCTCCTGTAAGTTAATTATGTGTTGTGTCTCCATTGAAAATTTTCGTGTGTCCTTAAATGGATGCTTAAGAGAGAGTTTTTGGCCTGGGAGAGGGCTAAGACAAGGTTGCCCTCTCTCCCCTTACCTCTTTAATCTCTGTATTGATGTTCTTTCTAGAATACTTGTGAGACAGTTGGAGTTGGGGGAATTAAAGGACTCAAGTTTGGAAGGGGTTCTTGCAAAGTTAACCATCTTCTCTTTGTCGATGACATGTTATAAAAAAGCAGAGTTACTGTTTTCTTCTTTTTTTAGACGTCAAAACAGGGGCCACCAAGTTGTAGACGCTTTCATATATAAACATTTTCATCATCTTTAGCAATCCAATTTCAATGTTTTCTTCATTGTAAATTCCCTGTTTTCGTTCTTATTTTGGGTGTCAAAATACGGGTTCCGCCCCCTATTTCTATTATGGTCTCACATTATTTTGGACATCAAAACAGGGGCTCCGCCCTCCAAGTTTCAGACAATTTCATATATAAACATTTCATCATCCTTGGCTATCTAGTTTCAGGCGTTTTCTTCATTGTAAACGCCCTGTTTCTCCATTGCAAAAATCTTGCCATAGCTTGGAACTTGGACTAATGGAGTTCATGTAAGTTGGTTTTGTTATAAATATCGACCGACAGTGTGATTTGGTCAATTTGGCAACCCAAAAAATAGAGAGAATGCCCCTTGTTTTGCTACTATAGTTGCTATATCAATCAACCATTATAGCAAAAAAAAAAAAAAAAAAAAACGGGTTAAGAAGATAGTATAAACAGATCAAGTTTCGATAATTTGATCCGAATCCGGTTACCAAACCTATACGGTTCATCCCATCGGTCTGAAGCGTTTCCTCGATTCGGTTGACCCTAACTCGATCGTGGTTTAATAGAAATTTGGTTATTTATTTTATTGTTTATTATTGTCATTGTCAATTATACCATAATATAGTTAATTACGGTATTAATTAATTAGTAGTATTTATTATTTTAACTGTATTAATTAACTACCATTTATCAATTAATAGTATTTAATATAATTAATTATGGTATTTATTAATTAACAATATTTTAATATGATAATGTGAGGGAATAGAGAGAAGTTGGATGGAATGAAATTCTCGTCATCGCCACTCTATCTTCATCTCAAGATGGAAGATGATGAATAGTAATCCCTCGCTCATTAGCTTGAATGAAAAATTAGGTTAGGTTTTTTATAATGGGGGCAAAGAGTAGTTTTTGTAATTTTAGGACTTTTGAGGGGCCATTTTGGTAATTTTAGTATGGTCAAGGGTTATTTTGGTCAATTCGAGGTGAAGACAAGCCATTATTGGAGAATCAAGTTGGGGATTTATCTCAGTGATTTTTGGCATTAAACTGCTCTTTAGATAAGTCTTTTTCTCCCTTGGATTTTTTCTTTCGTTTTCTTGTGTATTAAACTCAAAATTAGGACTTTTTGTGGATAATCATTTTCCGGCCAATCTCAGACAAGAAAAGTAGTTTTATTAGAAACCACTTGACATTAGAAATCCAATGAAATTAACCTTGTGTCTTTTGGATTTGTGGAAGAAAAGCTAGGTTAAATTTCATATGGAAACATAAGGGACGTCAGTCAACTTTAGGCCACTGAAAATTGGCATTTTGGTGACATTTTGACTTGATTTTGATTCTAATCTATAGTTCTCGACGATATCTCAAAAGGTACCTAGATATCCTCGTTTGGATTTTTGTACTAAAAGTTATGAATTTTTAAAGTTGGTATCCTAAATCTACCCAAATATAGGAATCCTAGAAAATTTTAGCGACCAACTGATTTTAGGCTACTAGAAAAGGGTCGTCTAATGATCTCTTTAGATGAGAGTAATGTTTAAATTGTAATGGGCTGTGAGACCTTCACGATGATATATTATATTTGTGAAACAAACATTTTAACCGGAAGTTATGAGTCTTAAGATTTGGATCCTTGAACATAGCAAACCTAGAAATCTAGGAGTCTCAGAACCTAAAATAGTAAACTATGAGAAATTTAGGTAGAATAATATAATAAGTTTATAATTTTCACATCACAAATTTATCAACATAAGTTTTGAAATTGGTGGTGCCAATTATTCGTTGATTATAGGCATTTGGATATACCGTGACTCACTTGTATTGGTACTTTGGACTCAACATGTTGGGTAAGTGGCTTTTCATCTTTTAGTTATATATGTTTTTTTTTTTCTTCTTTTGTCAACTGTCAGGTAAACTAACAAATAAATTCTTGGTTATATATTTGATTTTGTTTATTTGAATTGGGATCCAAGCATGTGAATATTATGAAATTGGAATCAGATGATTTTTTATTGACCATTGTAAATCACATTGTTATTCCTTAAAAGAAACAATGATCTTTTTTTTTAAGTTGGTATTCTTTATTTAGCTATGTTGTTATTCCTATTATAAATTCCTTTGTGAAACTCATGTGTGGTTTGATGTATCTGTTATATTCTAATAATATAGGACTATGTTTTGGACCCTGCCATTGGGAATGAATACAATGGCATCTTGGACTAGTCCATTTTGAATTTAGGTCCTCGCCATAGGGCATATATGTGGTCCCTTATCACTGGGGTTAAAGTGGTCATAGTTTAATATATGACTACGCCATGGACCCTGTCATTGGGGATGAATACGATGGCATCTTGGACTAGTCCATTTTGAATTTGGGCACTCTTCATAGGGCATATATGTGGTCCCGTATCACTGGGGTTAAAGTGGTCATAGTTTAATGTATGACTACACTCTGAATCTTGACATTGGAGATGAATACACTGGCATTTTGGACTGGTCCATTTTGAATTTGGGCCCTCACCACAGGGCATATATATGGTCCCTTATCAATGGGGTGAAGATGGTCGTAGTATACCCTTGTGAAATTGCTATGTGACTCTGAATTTGAATTTGAATATATCAACATTAGCCCACAACATGTGTTTTGTCCAACTTGTTTTTTCATTTTGTGAACTGTTAGAAAGTATGATACTTTTTTTTAGTATGTGAATTTCTTTTCTCCAAGACATATTAAGTGGCTTGAAACTTATCTTGTGAATAATATGGGGATTTTATGAATTATTTATTGTTATTAGTATTATTATTTTCTTTCGCATGCTTGATCCAACTAGGGGGATGAAATGTCACTTATTGAGGGTCGTACTCATTATTCCTATTTCTCTTCCTTTTCAAATGCCGAAGCAGAATAGCTATTATTTGGGATTGCTTGGGAAAGAAAGTGTTAATACAAGTTTTCTTTACATTAGAACTTGTAGTAAACTTTATTAGTTAGATTTTAGATTTATTTTGTACTTTTTTGTAGATAAGAATTATCACTAAAACCTTAGACATTTAATGGAACTCAAGTTGTTGGAGATTATGTGATTTTACATTTAGTTTATGATTGGTTTTGATTTAGAGTTATTGTTAGAAGCCTTACATACTAGTAAGCATGTGGCATTGTCTCGTGCCTAACCTTGGTTGGGGGTGTGACAATTTAGGCTAAACAAATTATGGGTAGAGATGGATCTAAGTATACACAGTGGTTTTACGTATGTGAGCCAATGAAATTGGTTATAATGGAGTCTTTTTATATAAAGGGGAAAATTAGGGTATTTTTTATTAAAATTTTACTGGGTGGGGTTTTAGGCATTTGGAATCGATTGATGGGGTCAGATTGGCCCAAATAGGCCCGGATTAGGCAAATATGAAGGGATAATAATTCAGTCAATCTAGAGCTTTGAAACAAAATCTTGGTGTAATGAGGGAAAAATGATGAAATTTTTTGTTCAAATTTGGCAGGGTGATATTTTTGAGCATTCTGTTTTGATTGGTAGGTCAGATTGGCCTAACTTTTCCCAGATCGGGAAGATCCAAAAAGGGCTTATTTTGGTTAATCTAGATTTTTGAAATAGAATCTTAGCGTGATAAAGGGGAAAACAAAGGTATTTTGGGCTGAATTTTTGTGGGTAGGATTTTTAGGGTGTATAGGATCTGACGGAAACATTTGATTGGTTTTGGAGGGCCAAAATCATGGAAATTTGGGTTAACAAGAGGATCCAAAATGGAATCTTGGTTCGATGATGGGGAAAATGGAGGAATTTTGGGTTAAAACTTTATCGGTAGATGTCTAGGGTTCAATAATATGGTCTAATTGGTTTAGAGGTGTTATGATCAAGAAGATCTGGGTTGTGGGTACTTTAGGATAACGAGAAGGTTTGAAAGGGAATCTTGGTTTAATGAAAGGGTAAATAGAGAATTCTTGGGTTGAAATTTCAAGGATAGGTATTTTATAAGGTCTTGGGCCTGATGGTGGTGTTCGTGGTCTTTAAGCACTTCGAAGGGATCATAATGGTCTGATCAAGTGTTTAGGGTGAATTGGGGGTATTGGTAGCAGACTAAACAAAATCGGGTGCTGACAGTGGACTTTCTAAAGTTATTGGTCTCTTGGATCATTTGGTGGGGTTTGATTGCTCTATAAATAGTATGATCAAGGGCATTCAAGAAGTGGATATCTTGGTCAATGAGATAACCTAAATTGAAATCTTAATCTGATGAAGGGTTAAATAGGGGATATTTGTGTTGAAATTTTATGGTAAGGTGTTTATAGGAAACTAGGGCTCTTTAAAAGCCAATTAATTCTAATTCGCATGGGTACTGACTAGTATTTTCTAAATTTGGATTTATTCCTTATAGAGAATTCCTCACATTCCTTACACCAACCTCACAGTAAGGTTTTCGGGTCAACGGTTTAACGGATCAGTCTGAACGAATAACCCGTTTTGACAAAAAATAAAAACATAAAAAGTAATTAAAATAAAAAACAATTAAAAACCCTTGACCAAGTCGAATGGGCCAGTGGTTCAACCACCCAGGTCAACGGGTCATTGACTGATTCAATGGTTTTTTGCCAAGGACCAGGTTTGGGGGAAAATGGAATTGGTTGCTTGGATGGTTCCC